CCCATGGCAGCGGGCGGCGTGGTCTCCTGACATCATCACCTGCTGACTGTGACCATTCAGCACTTCTCAGAGCATCCCACCACCTGCTCCTCCACTCCAAACTCCAACAGCTTCTCTAGGAGGAGCCAATGGCTGACAGTGCTGCAAGTGCCCCTCAGGAGCAGGTAGACATAGCTGGGCACTGCTCTCTGGAGCAGGGAGACAGAGGTGACTGTCCCTGCCTACTCAGCTGTTGGGAGGCCCCATCTGCAGTACTGTGCCCAGACCTCAGGCCCCCACCACAAGAAAGACACAGAGCTCTTGGAACGAGTCCAGAGGAGAACCATGAAGACGATCAGAGGGCAGGAAAAAGCTCTTCCCTCATTGCAATGCCACAGGGCCCTGCCCCCCCTCACTCCCATCTCCACCTGGCTTCCCATTGATGAGATAAAGGCAGTGGCTGTGGTCTTCATGCTTACACGGCCTAAGCACCATCAGGCGCCAACTCAAGAACAATTAATTGCTTTATTTATTACACGGACGGTGGAAGGCAGCAGCCCCATCCCAGGCAGCACTGGCCCTACCACCTCACGGCCACCTCAGCAGGGGCAGCCAGCAGCTCCAGGCACCACCCCGCAGCTGGCACAGCCATGCTCCAAGAGCACAACGCTGGTGGGCCTACGCTCAGCTCTGCAGCTGCTGACCAGGGGCTGCAGGGGAGGGCAGCACAGGCAGCACCGGCTTTTTTGTTGCTCTTCTGTCTTGCAGATGGACACAAAACCAGACCATGGCAGTCTCTGCCAACCATCTTGTCTGCACCCGATCGAGGCACCAAGCAAAGCACAAGGAAAGTGCACGGCCCACCCTGCACCGCTCCATGCTCAAACAGGACCTGAGGATCTGACCGCATGCACAGAGGCAGCTCCACAGCAACTCCCGGCTACAGACCCCGCCACGGACCTGCACACACACACACACGTTCTGATGAGCAGCTGCTCACTGCTCACTTTAGGATGGAGTCAGGGCCTTCAATATGGCACACATCAGCATCTCCAGGAGCCGTGTGGACTGTCTACAACTGAACTTCGAAGATAAGGAAGGAAGAAGCTAAAAAAGGATGGATGAGCCTAACAGAAATACCAACCCAGAAGCACTGGGACTAAGCATGCTCCTGAGACCAGGGAGGAAAGTTTAGAAGCGATGAAGACTGACAGCCTTCCTCCCTCGACCCCCAGATGACCACCAAGAAGCAATCACAGAATTAAAAAAAAAAAACAAACATCTTCAAATTACGGTTTCTGATTCGTTAAACACACAGTGGCTCTTCCATTTCACGACATCTACACCACCAATTTCTGGGGAGGTTTCCTTATTGTCATCACCTCCTCCAGTTTATGCATCTGTATACCAAAGAATCACAGAAAGTTTGGGTTGGAAGGGACCTCTAAGATCACGTAGTTCCAACCCCCTGCTGCAGGCAGGGACACCTCCCGTAGCCCAGGTTGCTCACAGCCCCATCCGGACTGGCCTGCAGTGCTTCCAGGGAGGGAGCAGCCACAACCTTGCTGGGCAACCTGTGCCAGTGTCTCACCACCCTCACAGTAAAGATTTCTTCCTAATACCTTGTCTAAATCAACCGTCTTCCACTTTAAAACTGTTTCCCCTCATCCTGTAGCTACATGCCCACATAAAAAGTCGCTCCCCAGCTTTCCTGCATTTTGCTCACATTACACACATTGAGGTCCTTTCCAACCCATTCTATGATTCTGTGGTTCTATGACTAGTCCCACTCCCCTGCGCTGAGCAGGGACACCACAGCTCCATCAGGGCTCTGAGCCCCTCCAGCCTGACCTTGGCTGTCAGCAGGGATGGAGCACCATCCAGGGATGGAGCCTGCGCTACTGCCTCACTACTCCCATTTTCAAACACTTCTTCCTCATGTCCAACCTGAATCTTCCCTCTTTAAGCTTGAAGCTATTTCCTCTTGTCCAGTCACAACAGACCCTGCTGAATTGTCTGCCCCCTTCTTTCCTACAGCTCCCCTTCAGATACTGAAAAGACATTTCTTCTTTGCATTTTAAAAAGGCCAGATTTTCAAAGAAAACTCAATTAATCTTAATCAGTTAATGAGTGACTTGTGCTTGGGAACATTACCTAGACTTCGGAGAGAGATGGAAACTTAATGTTTACCTGTTAAACATACGTAAAGCTTGGACTTGGTTAGAGTTTATTTGAACAGATCTTTGCTGTTCAGTGTTTTAATGTTTCATAATGCATGAACTAAGAAATGCTTATGTTTTCTGTTGGAACTGAGATTCCACCGGGGCACAGGAAATCCCAAAGGCAGCTGAACAGGTCTGTGCAACAAGCTGCCTTCTTGGCTGCAGGGATCTCTGCCTTGCCCCACTGTAACAACTTGGGGAAACAAAAAGGTAAAAAAATAAAAGCAATAACTGACATCACCTCAAGCACTTTGAGACCTTTGGAGACTGCTGAGACACGCAACATGAGATTGTATAGCTGATGTCTTTTTCAACTATTGCACCTCCCTGCCCACCAGCCCATGAGATATACCGAGAGGTCCTCTGGAAGCATCCTTCTTGCTGCCTCTCTAGCAGACACGAGCCTCACTTGCCCAACAGCTGTACCAATTGTTTGATCTGTAGTGATAAAATGAGAACAGACTTTGCCTGGGCTACCTAGAGAGATGCTAAGCCTGTGTGCATCATATCTCAGTGTACAGGGAAGCCATAAACTACTCAAAAATCAGTGCAGCAACAGCTGTATGCAGGTGCACATCTGGCCTTACCCAGCCCTAACACAGCTCTGATGCCTCCAGCCATGAATCCTGCACAGTTGCCTTGAACCTGTGCATCCAGTAGGGCTGTTTGCACAGCAGCTCAGCTCTGGGAGAGCTCTGCGCCAGAACTTACCTGTAAATCGGGTGGGATGGCTGTTTTCATCTCCTGTATTAAAACGAAACTTTCATCCAAGAGGGCCACGAAACAGTTCTCAAGAAGTTTTTGTTGGTCTAGGATTGAGCTGTAGCCCCGGAACAATGAATTTTGTCACATCTCCATATTTTCACATGTGAATAATTATGGACAACATTATACTAATGTGACTCCTAAGATACATGGTCACTCACCTGGCATTTGGGTAGTTTCCTATCCAGAGAGAACTTGCATGATTATTTCAGGAATACTCCCCCATGTGAATAGTTGCCATGTCTTCCTCTTTTCCAAAGCATTTCAGATATATTGTGGGGAAATAATTGTGTTTTTTAAGCATCATGGTAAACAGACAGCAGGAAGAACCCCGCTTCCAAAGGCTGTTTCTTCTGCTTCACCACTGAATGCACCCTCAGCAAGTTTGTTGATGACACCAAGATGAGTGGTGCAGCTGACATGATAGAAAGAAGAGATGCCATCCAGTGGGGCCTGGACAGGCTTGGGAAGTGAGCACATGAGAACCTAATGAGGTTCAATGAATGCAAAGTGCAAGGTGTTGCACTAGGTTTGGAGCAATCTCAAATTTGTGTACAGAATGGAAGAAGAACTCCTCGAGAGCAGCACTGCAGAGAAGGACTTGAGGGTCCTGGTGGATGAAAAGCTGGGCATGAGCCAGCAGTGCATGCCTGCAGCCCAGAAGGCCAACTGCATCTCTCAGAAGGAAGGTGGCCAGCAGGGCAAGGGAGGTGATTACTCCCCTCAATTCTGTCCATGCAAGGCCCTATGTGGAGTACTGGGACCTCAGAAGGACATGCAGCTGTTGGAGCAGGTCCATGAAGATAAGAGGGCTGGAGCACCTCTCCTATAAAGACAGGCTGAGGGAGCTGGGGGTGTTCAGCACGGAGAAGACTCCAGGAAGACCCCATTGCAGCCCTCCAGTGCTCGAGAGGAGCTAATACACAAGAGGGAGAATGACTTTCTACACAGTCTGACATTGATAGGAGAAAGGGGATTGTTTCTAAACTGAAAGAGGGGAGTCTCAGGTCAGATATTAGGAAGGAATTCTTCATTCAGAAGGTGGTGATGCCCTGGCACAGCTGCCCAAAGCTGTGGTACCCATCCCTGGAGCAGCACTGGGCAGCCTGAGCCAGGGTGGGAGGGGAAGGGGAGGGGAGCAGCCAGCCCACAGCAAGGATTGGAGCAGGGCAGGCTTTAAGATCCCTTCAACCTAAGCCAGTCTATGATCCTATGATTATATGTATGTCACTTCAAAACTAAGACCTCAAATTTATTTCTATGGAAACCACAGCAGATATGAAGAGCACAGTAACACTATTAGGTAGAGCAAATTCTCAGCTACAAAACCCTTTTTTCCAGCATAGTCACCACCATTAGCGAGGCATTTTTGCCAGTGGTGAACAAGAGCCTGCATGCCGTGCTTGTGAAATTCTACATGGCTGTCTGGAACGTGGCTTGTCTTTCCCATTGCTGTTATCACTGCTGAAATGCACCACCCACCTCACTGTGCTCACAGCCACTGTTTGGTCTCTATAAACACTCAGCAAATGTCAACAGATGTCAGTGGGTGACATTTTTTCTGCATGGATTCAGTTCCTCACCTTTGCTCCATATACTTTTGCATGTCAGATGCCACTGTGTCAGGCTGCCCCTCTGCTGCCATCTGTCACACAGCAAGAACATGTAATGGAATACCAGCAGGAGGGTTGCCTGTCCACTGCCATCCCACCAACATCTGCCTTTGACATTGTATATCAACATCATAAAATGGGATAAAATACTGTCAGAGCAGCTTTCTCAACTGCATGGCAGGCAATGACATTCGTTATCCGAAATGAACACAAATGACCTGCAGAAATGCATGCATCTATGGGTACTTCACTGATATTTTAGAGGCAAGTACCCTGAAGAAACCTCACAGATGCTACAATAGTGTTGTCAGTGTGTTTATTCATTGCGCTCAGCAGTCAGGATGTAGCTGTGATGCCAAAATGCCCACAAGATCAGCATATGCCTGAGTTAAAAGCAGTCACCACTCTGTGCCAGACCGTGTCCAACAATCATTTTATTTACTAAACCATTGTAGCAAACACCATTCAACACATAGAAAGAACGCCCGTAATAAAAACTAAAATGGAAGTTGCACGCTTTGATATTGACCCACTCCCTTTTTAATGACTTAAGGTAGAAATTGGGTACCCTTGGCTATGGTGAGCTTAGTGCAAGGGGTAGAAATCTGGAATAATGTCACAACAATCATCCTGGTGAGGTTGTGCAGCTCAGCTCTCAACCAAAGACGCTTTTGGGTGGCTCATCTTTAGACTTCTCAAAGACCGTTTCGTCGCCCGTCCGAGCGCGGCTGAATATGGAAGGTGCTGCAGTGCCCATTTGTTCTTGAAAAAGAAAAACAGGAGAGCAGGCAATCAGTGAAGGAGTTCTGGCAGTAATGCTAATGCTGCTAAAGCAGAGAAACCTTTGAGAAATATTTCATCAGCCCATCAACTTTCCAAACCCAGCGCTCCCATTCCAAGCACTGGGCAGCTTCCAGCATCTGAAGGTGGTCATCACCATCAGTGACCCCAAATCCCCTCAGGTGATTTATAAACTACGGTGAGGTTCAAGATATCGCCCTGAATAAGGGTGATTATAAATAATAATAAATAATCACCCTTATCGCCCTGATTAAGGCTGAATAAAAATTCATCATTTTTCTTTGTAATCTCCCACTGGTGTAGAAAAGCAATACATACCTCTATACATATCTATATATAACCCCAAGTCTAGGAGAAAGGATCCAGATTTTCAGTTTGGGCAACCACTCTTTGACTGTGGGACCAACATGTGGTCGGAACTCAGCCCAGAAGGCAGTCAGGGCTCTCCCTTCCACTTTGTCCAGACGAGGAGAACGACCACTTGAGGCAGAGCCTGGGTGCCACCTACTGATGCCATCTACTGATTAAATGGTTGTGCAGCCAGGCCAGTGGGTGTAAGCACATTGCTGGCTGCTCATTTGGAGCTGCACTCATTCACTGACAATAGCTTAAAGTTCATGCTTGACATTGGAAGGGTTTTTTCATTATTTCCATTAAACAGAAGAGACTCACCACACTGCTTCATGACTTGGTAGGTTTTGGACTTAATTTCCTGGTTTTTGGAAAGGTTTCCTCTAGCTCCTTTGAGATCTTCCTCCTTCACTGGAGGACGCTTCTTTTTCACTGGCTCTGGCTAATAAGAAAAAAGTATCATCCACACATCAGCATTTCATGTTTAGGACCCATAGGGAACAGAGCTGCCTGGATGCAATGGCTACCACATGCAGAGCTGCTAATCCTGTGTTCTACCTATAATTCTGTACTCCACCTCTAAGACCATACACAGCTGCTCCATGTTTTACACATCCTCAGCTCCATATCGGGGCAGGATGTCATTACCCCTCCCAAAATGGTCACCATTACCATTCTAGTTCAGAACTTGCCCTCTGATTGCCCACCCTATGGAGATGCCTGGTCCTTCTGCAAGTGAAGACCAAGATAGATCGGAAATCAAAGTATTGGTCTGATGTTCAGGAAGGGATAGAAAAAACAACAACAAAACAACCCAAACCTGCTTACAGTCTATCATGCTAGCAGGAAATCAGGGTAACACAGGAGAGTATCAGCCTCTCCTCACATTCAGTGCTTACAACGTGCATTAAATCCCAACACGACCCCCATCGGCGCTCTCAGTGCCCCGCAGTGCATTCACTGTGTTTGAAGACTGGGCAGACCACGCAGTGGGGTGTGGGGAGCTCAGTTTCACCACCCTCACAGCAAATGTCATCATTTCATCATCATGTCATCAAACAGATGGAACACGCATGCACTCCGACAGCAACATGCGTGTGCATCAGCGAGAAACTTCTCTGACCACCCGTCCACATGCAGGTCCTGTGATTGGGATTTTGGCAGCGGTGGAGCCCGGTGGAACATTTCTGTGCCACTGCTTGTAAAGCTAAAAAGGGGTTGTGGAGAGAGAACACTGCAGGGCACAAGCTGCTGGAGCAGTGGGTGCCGGGGGGCCTGGCCGTGCTGGGGCTCTGGCACAGCTCCCACTGGCTGTCAGCTCCCGGAGAACTCGGAGCGACTCACTGCCAGCCCCACAGCGTGCCGTGGGAAACAAAACAGCCACGAGATCTCCGGGGAAAACACTGCAAGTATCCAAAGAAAGACTGAGCTGAGAGCAAATCCTTCCAAATTCACAGCGGGTTTGGGCTGGTGAGCTGTGAACCAAAACCACCTCCACGGCCATCTGCTATGGGAACTGGTTGGGGTCATCCATGTGAAGTGAGCACAGAGCTGTGTTGGTGCCCATACGGAAAGGGGAAGAAATATCGCGTTTTGTTAACAGCCATATGAAACCTGCTAAGGTGCTTTGCCTGCTGTTAGCAAGGGCTGATAACTGTGAGGCTGCCTCCCAGAGGTTTTCCTGGGACAGGGAGAGGAGCGCTGGAGACACTCCGAGTCACTAACAGAGAGCTGAACTCCATCCAGCTTTAAAGTAAAACTTCTCTTGCTGCGATCAGGGCTTGGTTTTCCACCAGAGCAGTTGCTGTGGGTTAGCTGTCCTGCAGCTAAAGCACGACGGTGCTGCACAGCGAGGTGGCCATGAGCCGCAGCGCTGAGCCCCGGTCCTGTTGGTGCAGAGCTGCACCCATCGCTGCCAGCAGCAGTGAAGCTGTGAGTGCTGTGCTGGAAGGTGTGGGGCACTGCTTTCAAGACTTTTTCTTTGCAGTAAAGTCAACAGGGAGAACTGAGCTACTCTGTGTGGCTGAGGGACTGTGCCCCGCTGCCCTTCCCATGTCCTCTGCCTCTTCTTTTCTTGTACGCTCACACGTCAGGCATTGCTTTACACGGCAGCGCACCTTAGAGCAGACACATCCTTCCAAACTACTGTCAAAGCTTCAGATAATTGTCTGAGAAAACGTGTTGGAAAAGCAGAGATCTGTCAGGACAACATCCCAGACCAGAGCAGTGAAAATTCCTTTCCCTTCCTACAGAAACGTGAGCGCTTGCAGTACAACAGAATATATTAAGAGCCAACTAATTAAGCATACAGAAGGCAGCTGCTTTCCTTTGCCACACAGTGACCACCCCATAAAACTCAGTGAGCAAGCTCTACGAGCAGAGCCTGTTTCACCACTTCACCGTAAGCAAACAATCAGCACAGAGCACAGCGTTCACTGCACAACCAGAGCTGCTCTGCTCGCTGCCAAGCTGTGCTGTGAGCTCTGACCGCTGCCAGCCTCCCTGCCGTGCCCCGTACCTGCGACATAACTGCAGCTCCCGCGGCTCCGATCCCTGCCGCCCAGCTGTGCTTAAACGCAGCGCCGTGCAAATCACGTCGTTCTCCCAGACTTATATAGAGCATCCAGCGTGAGGTCAGGGGTGGGGTCACCTTCCCAAAGCAGTGCCCGGATGATTCAGGCCGCGCGGGGTTATTCCTGGCGGTGACTGCAGGACTCGCAGCGCGGCTGTGATGGGAGCGGACAGCTGGGGTGGGAGGGGGGCTGCCCTGCAGGGGGGCCTCCGGGATCTGACTGAATGAACTTTAAAAGGCAAGACTTGGTTACAGACACAAACTTTGAATTCTCTCGATGGGAAGGGAGGCCAGCTGTTCTTTCGCTGCACAGGGAAATAAGCTGTGAAATTTATATAAACCTAGCATCAAAAGCATAACACGATGCCCTGAATCTCTCTTGCGTGGGAAGCAGTGGACCCCGCTCCATAGGAAGAAATGGTTGTGATTGTTTGGGGGTAAAAAAACTCAGTTTTGCAGTTTGTGAGGTCAGATTCAGCTTTACCCTGACGGGAGTGCTGCTGAAGTTGCTCTGACAGCAGCAGCTCTCACACACCAGAGAGCAAACCCCCTCCCTGCTTCCAGCAGTGCTCAGCAGCTCCCCGTGGTGTGCACAGGGATGGGCTCAGTGCTCTTCTCTCTGACTAATACAAAACTTTCTCCAAAGCTTCTCAGATTCATTTCCTAAGTGATTTTTTAACCGAATAGAAAGAAAGAGACACTTAGGCCAGGGGAGTTGTCTCTTGATTTTTGTAATTTTTTTTTTTTCTTTTTTTGGCATTCTTTGCATCACACAAAAAATTGGCTTCCATGACCACAACCCACAAGTAGCAAGCACCAGGGCTGGAGCCAGCTTTGGAGAGGCAGGCCAGGCGCTCCTCCCAGCAGTGCCCACCAGGAACAGGATGGCAGTACAAACCTCCCCAGCCCTCCCCACATCTCCGTGCACCCACTGACTGCCACTGCAGCTCTGCCCATGCAGCTCTGCCCAATGCACCTTCCTCTGTGCAACTGTGGAGCAGTGGCTGGAGTGTTAGGCAGCACTATGGATGTCACACACCCAACCTTTCCTTATGCTGAATTTGTGTTTGGAAGCTGCATTTTAGTAAACTGGAAGAAAAGTTTCTGTGCAATAACGCTATAACAGTGGGAAGGAAAATCACTCGCTCCAGGCAAAGTACTGTTTTTCCTCCAGGAGAAAGCTGAGGTTCCATCAGCGTAGGCAGCACAGCCCGATGCTCTCCAGTGTGTCCCAGCCCAGGCAGATCCTCTCTCTTTGACTCAATGGCACATTTTCTAAACCAAAGCTGAAGCAAAATCACAACCATTTCTTCTTACGGAGTGGGAGCCAATTTTTCCTCACAAGAAAGCTCAGCTTAAACCAACCTGTGCTGCCTTTCTGAGTAGGAGCCTCACTCACCTGGTCGAGGTCCCGAGGATTTCTGAATACAAGGAGCATCAAAGTCCAGTCAGTTTATTGCAGCTTATCCTCCTTTCTCTGTAACCAAGGTGTGCAAAACTCCTTTCCTAAGAGGTGGTGAAAAGAGGGCGATGACCACACTGAATGTAGTGAATATGCACACCTGGCCCTCCAGAAGTCACAGCTCTTGCTGCAGACTTGATTTCTCCTCCAGGAACCCGTGCACACCCCTGGTGGGCTGCCAGGCAGAAGATGGCTCCTTGAGTTCCCTGTAAGGATGCAGTATGGGGACAGGGCTGCCTGGGTGCAGTAAGCGATAAGCAATGAAAGTAATGCACAAACACAGGAGAGGAGTAACAAAGGATTGACACTGTGCAGGCCCAGCCCAACAAACTGAACCAAGCTGCTTCCACCGAGAGAGAAGTGGTGAAAGCAGCAGCAGCAGCTCATCAGTACCACGATTTCTGCTGTTTGAGCACAAGGGTGTCGAAGTTTTCTGGTTCACGTCACAGCTTCACAGGGCTGCAGCTCTCCTTCTTGCTAGCACTCCCTGCTCCCCCAGTGCTCTAGGAAACGGATGGCAGATGCTCCAACTGGGGAAGAAGGCCCCTGAAGAGTAAGATAGCATCATTATGCCCCCACAATAGGGGTGGTGGTTGTGAAGCAAGCATGGGCTACACTCATTTTACTGGGTGTAGAGACACGCACGTGCTTGCTGCAGAACCCTTCAGTAACCACAGACAACCCTGCACTGCACAGACTGCAGGAGCATTGCCTTCTTCAGCCAGAAGAGAACCAGCACTGCTTCCCCCTCCCCATCTCACTCTGCTTTGTGTAGCAGCTACCAAAGGCACAGGATGACGTTGCTCCTGAGGTGGTGACAGGAGGCTGCTGGGCTCTGGAAGCAGATGTCCCCATGCAGTCCTTGGCTCACAAGTAAGACCAGGGAGTTCTGCAGTACGGCAAGGCTTCTCAGCAAACATCCCTGCCCCTGCAGGGACAGGATGCTGGAGGTAAACCCAGACATTTCTCAGTTTACGTTTTTTGTGTCCTGATGACCAACAGGTGTGACTTCGTTCAAAGAGCAGAAGGTGGGCTGTGACAGTGAGCTGGGTGGAAAAGCACATTAACCAAGCTCTGCATCCCAGAGGTCTTTGGGTGTGCGTTCTGCATCTCTCAGGATGCACAGACAGGGCTTAACCTTCCATTTGTGAATACAGAGGGTTACAAACATTGAGACAGGCTCACTTTTACAAAGAATGAGCACAGAACGAGTGTACAAACCTGTAATAAGTCAACTTTATTGTAAACTGTTATACAATGCAATTACATAAGATACCCTTAGAAGTTTAAGGTAACACTACTGATTAACAATGTGGTCCAGACAGAGGGCAGCAGAATACAGCTGTTTGTTTTGCTCACGCAGGCTCTGCTCTGACTTTACTTACAAACAAACCCAACATTCAGTTTGAGGCAGATACTCACGCAAAGACAGAAACACCTACAAAAGAGTCCCTTTTTTAAAGATACTGCAGTTTTACTTTGTAAAACTATAGTAGTTATTTTCAGTAATTGAACTGGAAACTTTAAATACATAAAAAGTTTGCACCCCGATGCTGTAAGACCTACTTTGACTTGATGTGGCTGAATTTATTCTCTTCCATTACCGCTTTCTCCTGCAAAAGCACAGCAAAGTTGCAAACGTGGGTCGGTCAAGCACAGTGGCAGAGATCCCTTGTGATGCTCGGCTCCCTCAGAGCCGCTCCTTGCTCCCCGCAGGCAGGGATCACTTTGCATTGCTCTAATTTGCAACTCAATTTCTGAGTTTTCCCTGAAGAAAAGCTAAAAGTACATTTTAGTGAGCAACATGAACATACAGTGTTCTCCTACTGAAAGTAAGATAAGGGGACCTGAATGTGTTAAAGCCAGAAATTGAAAACCAAGTAGTAGACAACACCGGCGTTATAAATCCGTGCGGATGTGTCGCAGGTCAGAACCAGGAACAGTTAATACATCCAGGCTGACCTACATTGGTAAATCTCATCTCCACCAATACCACTTTCTCGCTAAGTTACAATCCCTTTTCTTACTTTGGCATATAGTACACAGCTTATTTTCATTAAACAATCACATGTTTTCAAGCACAGCCTGAATTGAACTTCGCTATGAGCTGTCATGAACTGCATTTACCAGGAGTGAACTCAGAGTGCCAATCTGAGGACAAACACAAGTGCTGCCATCATGTGATATTATTATGATTGGATCAACTCTCGATGAAACGCTCACTGCAGCTGGCCTGCAGTCCATGCCAATGAGCAGCACGATGCAGCGCAGCGCTGGGCAAATCCTTCCCCTGCACAGGAGCTCTTCAGACAGGAGCACGCCATCTCATACCTACAACTACAACTCTGACTTTCATCTCCCGAAGAGGAGAACTGCCAATTGTACATTTTTTGTTTCTTTCTCGCGTGATAATGTGAAACAACCAGCAGAAAGCCAGGCTTGGGGATTTGGCCAAGGTTGTGAACAAGAACCCTGTCTTAGCAGAGAAAGTTAGAGCTGTTTTTCTCCCTCTGAAGACACACCCCTCCTTCCATTACTGCCTTACAACGCTTGACTTCTGTCTCTTTGGCTCATAGTGCTTTACTGTTTCCTCTTGCTAGGCATATCGGAATCTCAAACCAAGCGACATTTAAGCACTTAGGACATGAAAAGTTAGGCATCTGTAGCCCTCGCTAAAACCACCCTCAAGAAACTGCTCCGCAGTGCTAATTATCCTTTTGTACTTGGTCAGTGAGTTTGAGGTCTGCTCAAAACAAGCATTTTACATGATTAAGGCCATAATCTCACACTGACATTTCACAGACTAAACATGAGACTAGAAATAGATATTTCAATAACTTAAGTAATTAGAGGAGGGAAAAGGAAGATAAAATGAAAGCTTGTACAGTTGAATTTGTATGCGCTGCTCAGTTGATGAGGACAGTAATGACTGTGCAGTGGTGTGCAGCACGTGTGACACACTTCTATTTCACCATCTGAAACTGAACAAAGCCTATGCTGAAAATATAAACACATCTACGACGAGAGCCAGCCCCATCTCCCACATCCCTTTATTACAGCGAGCTGTACGAGGCTGCTCTGCTGATGCAAATGAATTCCTTGAAGTACTGTGCTTCTGGAGACATGAGCCTGCCCAACCAACAACAATCAGAAGATGCAAGTCAATGAAATCAACGAACAACAAAACAAAAAACGGAAACAGAGGCAACCCTGATGAGGGACGTTTTCCCATTTCCCTGTCCTCCACTTCAGAAAAACTCAATTGAGCTTCCATTGTCATTAGCTTCTAGATTTAGTCTAAAAGAAACACTAGTATTTAAACTTATTGCAGTTATTACATTTCAGTGCACAGTAACAGAGGTCAGTGGCTCAACTAAACTTGCAAACGTCAGGTTTGGTACAATGTCCCTTTGAGTCACGCCAAGGTGCTCCCTGAAGTCTCAGAGTGCTGTGATCACCTCAGCAGCCGAGCAGGAAAAAGGAAAGCTGGAACAGTGAGAAGGAAGGGAGTGCACAGTTCAGTATTTACTAAGGCCCGAGAACCACATGGTAGTGGTCTGGATAATACATCGCTTTAAGACCTAGTAAATTCATAAAAAATGTAAAAAATCTTACAAAGTTCTGAGCAGTTTCCTGATGAAACTGTTTGGTTTAAGGCTTGGAACACTTCTGATGTCCAAACACTAAAACAGACTTGCAATTAGTCTCTGCTGTCACTCCTCTGACACACTGCCTTGTCCTGCACAAGGTTCAGCTCAGCAAGGAAAGCTGTCAGAAGCAATCATTTAGAACGTAGGCAAAGCAAAAGATGTCCCTGACAATGTCTGCAGGGTTTTAGAGCAGCACACGTTGTCAATTGCTAGAAGACATATGCTGAGAACTGCAGAAGTTCTGCAGTGACTGTACTACACCTCTCTTCTTTTACACACAAAAGGATAACCAGGCTGACAGGAAATTAAACAGAAGAAACCAATTTTTTAAGCACATGACGTAGAACAATGCTTTTTCAACAAAAATAAGCATGGGACAGAATTATTCACAATATTGTAGCACAAGTCCTCCAATCAGATCAAGGCCCTGGATGGTGCTATGCAAGGAAAAGCCTCAGGAAGGTTCCATCCCTCTTGCATTGCATGAGAGATTCATACAACAGACTTTAGAAATGGAAATAAATTCATCCATAGATACTCATTCCACAAAGAAGTAACCTACCACGACAGATTTCTGTTACATGCTAAAGTGCACATTTGTCAAATATGCAAACAACACCTCTTATTAAACAAAGGTATTCCCAAATCACGTGGTCGAAATCACGCTGAGGACTGCATTTTTAGTGATGTTTGGTGATTTCAGCAGTGACAGAGAGCTTTTCCCTTTGCAACCCCTTTGTCTGAAACCAGGACACAAGGATAAAATGATTTTCACTACAAATCTTTTGACCTTTTCTGCACAAAAAAAGGGAACAACACCCTTTTCTCTGACAAAGAGAATCTTTAAATACAACCGTATGAAAATATAACTTAAATATAAAATAGTCAAATAGATTTGAGGAATCTTGGAAAAAATCTTTGTTCCACCTATTAGTTCCATAGGTACCTGGTAGCAAGTAAACATTTGTACTTAAAAAAATAACATCAAGTTACAGCTTGTAGCCATAAACTATTCTGCTCTAGGAATTATGCTGCAAAAGCCAGTTTTAGTAATAAAACACACTCTAACTTACTCGATTTGGATGCCTTTTAGAGAACATCTTACACTGCATCATTCAGTAACCATAAAGGAAAGGTTACTGCAGTTGTTTTCTCTATCTTCTCTGAAATGTCAGATACAATCACCTCAGTGACTCCTCCTTAACAATGCTGCTTTCACATAGGATGAAAAGACATTCTTGCATAATTGGTCAGTGTGTCTGTAGTGCAACTGAACTGCAAGTCTTCCAACTGACTGCATTGTGTTGACAGACCTTACTTTGGAGTCAGTTTGTATGAAAGTGAGAAGCAACTGCAACATTAAAACCCACTGACTGAGAAGTTCTTGCCGTGAAACCTGCTGACACAGGTCAGGGCATGCATCATACTGGCAGACCAAAACGATGCTTCTTCTTCTTAACGGGCTTCAGGTTGGTCAGTCTACGCAGGTCCTCCTCCACGTCCGATTCCTCCATCTCATCGTCTGCTGAGATGAGGATCTACAAACAAATCACAGGTTCTGAGTAATGTACAAAGTCACAGTCTTTCCTCATCCTGCTCTTTACACTTGCAAAGCATCTTACTCCAGAACACAATTTGGATTTACAGTCAGTTCTACCCAGCAACATCACACATCCTACCTGGAACCTCAAGCAAGTTTCAAAGAAGGACACACACCTATTAATCTCCACTATAGTCAGACTCTGGGGAAATCAACTCTTTGAAAGGGTTGATAACAGCAGGACAAGGGGAAATGGCTTGAAGTTGAGGGAGGGAAGATTGAGGTTGGATGTCAGGGGGAAGTTCTTTACAGAGAGAGTGGTGAGGTGCTGTAACAGCTGCCAGAGAGGCTGTGGATGCCCCGTCCATCCCTGGAGGTGTTCAAGGCCAGGTTGGATGGGGCCCTGGGCAGCCTGGGCTGCTATGAAATGGGGAGGTTGGTGGCCCTGCGTGTGACAGGGGGTTGGAGATTCGTGATCTTTGAGGTCCCTTCAACCCTGGCCATTCTGTGATCTGCAACATTTATGTACACATTGTGTCTTCCTGCCCTCCAGAAGGAAAACAACCAGCTAATGAGTGGTGTAACAATACCATCTTCTGATCTGCTTCTCAACTGCCAACACTAGGAAGCCTGCAAAGAACATCAAAACCAATCCCACAATGTTACAGTGAAATCAATGGCGTGAGGGAGGAATTGCACTGATACTGCATTAATTGCAATAATGAACTCTACATACTTCTGACTCTGACTCTTCGTGTGATGCTGCTCTCCTGTAGCGGACTTTACTTCCATTTCTTGAATCTTGTCCTGCTTCTTTTTCTTCAAGTTTAGCTTTTGTCTTCCCTTTCTTCATAAGAAAATTATCTACAACCCAGAAGATAAATGCCTGGTAAAGAGAAGGAGAAAAGTGACAGTTCAGTTCTCTTCAGGTAGCATATGCTCATTCGGTCAACACGTAGACAGAATCAGGAAAACTTAACAATAATGCTGCATTGGCCAAACAGTTCAGTTTTACATAAGCACTCGGCTCCATGTCTTATCATACACTGCACAAATTCTCTAGAACACATCTACTTTATTCCAGGGAAGCAGAGAACAAGAAAAACAACTGTCGTTCAGAGTGATCATTAACTCCTCATGCAGAAACCTGAGTGGCTTTAGGCAAACATTTTAGTGCAACAAAGCTTCCCATTTCAAAGAAAATCCATGCTTGAGCAAAATAAGGAGAGAAAGAGCTGCCAGCAGTTATTAAATGCAAAGACACCATTTCTGGCTCTAGTCTCGACTCCCAGACTGCTGGAAGGGTGTACTTTGGTAAGGATGATGGCACATTTGCACTTCTCCTCCACTCCTGTGTTGACCAGTCACTAACAGCTGTGGTCAGACACAGGACACTTCACTCTGCAGCTATCCTTAGCCTAACTGCTTTCTAAAGCAGATTTCATTGTCATTTTACAATCCCTATGTGTTCCATTTCTACATTCAATCTACTCATGTCACCAGCCCAAAGAAGTCAGCAAAGCACTTCTGTACCTCTCCTGAGCCTGGTTACTTAGTTATGTGTGCATTTCAGCTATGTGCAATCCACATATCCAGGCATTTTCTCCTCTCTTTAACACTTTTCCTTTTAAAAAAATTAAGATAATTAACACACGAAGATACACTGTGCTTTAAGGATTAACATTAATTAAGGATTAATGATATTTAACTAACAGATGGGAGAAAAATGCAAGTAAACATCTCATTGAAGCATGCAAGTTATACTGACATTAACAAAGAAGGGAACTATCAACATGACGATAGCCAGCTCCAACTGGGGGTTCTCTATAGGATTCAATAAAGCTACCTGTGAAAAGAAAAGGAGTAAATTCAGATTATGGCAGCATGGGCACACAACTGCATTACTAAGTGCAACTGCTGATGTACTAGCTAACTATATAAACAGTTCATGTGAACAAAAAAAGGATAGCTCTGTAGAAAAGGAGAGTATTTAGGACAGCTTATAAATCACCACAGATAAGTGAGTGGGATTGGCAAGAAACTTCTCTCTGTCATTTTTGTTTACAGAAGTCTGAGGAGATGCTTTCAAATAATTTCGACCATTTAAGAGCTGCACGTTCCTTGGGAACATGTTTTTAAGTCTTATCTTAAGGAAATTTAAACAGATCAGGGCTGTACAAAACACATGGTAAGATAACTCAGTTCCCCAATTAGCCCACATAAGAGGGACTAACTGGTTTTAGTGTGCTATAGCACCACACACATCACTCTCAGTGCTAAGTTACACAGATGCTATCAAAATGAATCCAGTCATCAGCAGCCAGTTTCCCTGAACCACTGCAAATTACCAACAGCCTGCAGTTTACTTCTATGAAGAAGGTGATGCAAAGGAAATTTAAAATACAATAGAAAGGAAAATGAAGTACCTACAAATATAAGTTAAACAATTAGAAAAGAAGTGTTCAGACAAGCAGATAGAATAAAATTTTATATATTGCAGTGTATATAAAAGAAAAAGAAACTATGACAGGATATTTCTGGCAATTAATGTCAGAAAAATCAAGGAACAGGAACATATCTATCCTACAGAATGAAATGGCACTGAGTGCAGTCAGTTATGATGCTTGAGGATAAGTCAAACCAACAAACATTGGAACATCAGAAATCAGAATTTATGGCTTGCGCCTGAATTTTTTTTTTGCCTGTAAGATGCAGTAAAAATACAAACCTCCTTCCACTGAGGTATCAGAAGCACTATAATGATGATGGTCTTCTCAAATGTCATAATCATTATGTACAGAGCACACTGACCCATCCAAGCACTGCACTGCAGTGGGTCACCTGCCAGAGAGAAGAAAAGTTCAATATACACATATGGTTGGTTTTACCTCACAGCAAACACTGGAGAAAAGCAGTATGAGAAGAAGGACAGTTACACCCTTTTGGAGTGTCCTCCCCTACTTCCCAAGTGCTGTTCCTACCACCCCTGCCCCACTCCACCCCAATTTAGCACATATAGACTACCTTCAATATATCTTTCCTCTCTACAAAGCTGGCTTTTGTAATCACCCGATGGTAATTACAGCAACAGGTGCAAATGCCACCATCAAAAATGTAAATGAATAAAACGTTCATCAGGATCACACTTCCATTTCAAACTGAAAGGGTTTGAGTACCTGCTGCAGCCCAATAGGACACGGCAGAGTGAAAACCTGTTATCTGCCTGGACCAAAAATGATGGACCAAAAATGATGGTACACAAACATCTGACCAGGAAAACTACAGGCAGATTTTGTGGATGCATGGAGAAGAAAAGAGAAAAGAGAGGAATGGTAGCATTTCACTGGGAGCCAAAAGGAAGCTTTGCTGGGGGAGGTTGTTGGCCTCTTACACTTCCCAACTGCCTTCTGTCTGCAACTGCAGCTTAGATCTTGTCAGCCTGGGGGTGAATAATGTGCAGTGGAAATTCAGATGCCTTCGTGTATTTGTAATGCATAATGGATAGTTGCTACTTCCTTTTATGGAACATTTCTGAAAGGCTTTCAATGTTAATGCTTGGTGATGATCTTGAGACTTAACTGTTTGCTGATTAAAAAACAAAAACAAATCAGACCACAGTCCAAAACAAGGGACATTTTCTAAGTAAGCTTTACAGTAAGAGGCAATGGATCAACACTCAGTAGTCCAAGACAAAAACAGTTAAACACTTGAGTTCTACCACTATGTCCTGCAATTAAGGCTTCTTTTGTAAAGGGAAAAGAACAGTGATAAAATTTGAAGGCAGAAACATTACAAAGTCAGAAGTGAACAACTGTCATTCTCCTGGGGATGAGAAGACTGAGTTAAATTTGACAATGACATTGTATACTCCACATTTTTGTCTGCATTCTCTTGTTTTCTTCACTAAGTAAAATACAGAAAAATTCTATTTCTGGAGATCCTTTCAAACTGTAATTCTAAAATATAATTTATAAAATTACGCAATTCAAGTGAAAAAGAAGTCTGTAGCAACATCATATCCATGAAGTGTTCCAGTAATATGTGGCACATTTGTACATTCAAAGATTCAGTACATAAACTCAAACCTCGGAGGGAATTGGCTGATTTAGTTGCCAAGCCACCCTCGATGATATTTGAAAAGTCACAGTGGTGAGGTGAAGTCCTCAGCAACTGAAAAACAGGCAACATCAGACCCATTTTTAAGAAGGGTACAAAGGATGACCCTGGGAACTAGTGACCTGTCAGCCTCACCTCTGTGCAAGGCAAGATGATGGGGCAGATCCTCCTGGAAGCTGTGCTAAGGCACATGGAACAGAGGGAGGTAATACGGGACAACCAGCACGACATCACCACGGGCAGGTCCTGCTTGACCAGGTTTGTGCTGGGACCACAGCTCTTCAATGTCTTCATCAGTGACACTGGCAGTGGGATCAAGCACACACTCAGCAGGTTTGCAGATGACACCAAGCTTTGCTGTGCAGTCAGCACACCTGAGGGATGGGATGCCATGCAGACAGACCCAGGCAGGCTCAAGCAGGGAGCCCAGGTGAGCATCGTGAGGTTCAAAAAAATTCAAGTATAAGGCCTTGCAGTGGGTCATGACAACCTCCACTATCTGTACAAGCTGCAGGACGTAAAGATAGATGCCAAAAAAGACTTGAGGGTACTGGTGGATGGCAGCTTGACATAAGCCAGCAGTGTGCCCTCACAGCCCAGAAAGCCAACCGTACTCTGACAGTGTCTTCTGTTAAGCACCACCGTTCATTGCAGAAGAGTTGGACTTGATGACCTTTAAAGGTCCTTTCCAACTCAAAAGTTTTCCTGACTCTATGAAATTAAAAGTTGAAAGCTAATGTTGAAGCCATAAAGCCCTAATTCCATTTCCAAAGTCTCTGACAGCCTCTCAAATTCTGATTTTATACCTGCCGAGTAAAACTTGCATATTTAGAACATTTGCTAATCAGCAGAAATCCTGTTAACAAAAAAAAAAAAAAAAAAGCACATTAAAGCACATTAAGATTGAAAGACTGAAACTGAAAAAATTGGAAGTCTCAGCAATGACAACTATAGCCACGTCTTGAGATACTTTCTTATAGAAGTGCCAACTTGAAGAATCTCTCCAAAACGACATTTAAAAGCGTTATAGTAAGCATCTATCTACCCTGTAGGTAGGCTAAAATGTGTTAAGTTGCTCTGCAAGTCACAAGCAAAGGGCTTGGGGGAAAAGATGCAGCAGAAACAACTTCTGAGCTTCTCCATGTGAGAAGCAGAGACAGCAGCCATCTATTTGCCAACAGAGCTCGCTGTCAGCCAGGGCAGTTTGGTCACCTGTTTTCTACTCCTCGCAGCTGATTCGACCTAGTGCAAGAAGGGAGGGGGAATGCAGGAAACATTCTTTTTGGTACAGGTCACAGCTGCTTTTCTCCTCTTTACATACTCAAATATATTAACTGATTCCACGCTTCTATTACAATCCAGCTGCTGATGTAATGAATCTGAAAATACAAAGCTGGAAATATGAAAACAGATCTAATAGATGCAAAAATTCTGACAACAAAGCCCTTGATGGAGCCCCACGCTAGTAGGTTCATAAATGAGCACGCTGTACAAACAGCACCCATGTTGGCACCTTGGTATCCATTCTCTTCCTGAGGCATTTATGCTTAAAAACTACCCTCCATATAAAGAGTGGCTTTTAAAACCAGCAAGACAACAGCTATTTTTATGACAGCTTCTCAAGTAATGAATCACCAGGGATCAAGTAATAGAGCTAAGATGGGAAATGAGCTCACAGTGAGAACGAGCTTGAGACAAACGATTATTTAGGCTCTAAAAACACAAACAACATCACTCAGTCAAAAGAAGAGACTTGCTCATTTGTGGGCTTTGGTTTTCCATGCCTGCAAACCAACTGAAAACACGCTCGTCTTCAAGCAGACCTTCTTTGGTACTTCAGATAAAACATCATAAATCCCAAACACACCTCAGTGAGCAGACACCTCACCGTTCATGGATGCTACACATCCATATTTACCTCCAAACGGGACTGCAGTTCGGTCTCCTGTTGTCACAACACCTCATTTATTTGTTTTTAAGAATCTTATGAAAAAGAAGAGTTTTCCCAGAGCCAAGGCGAAGTTTTAAATGAAATGGTAACACGTGGGATTTGGTTTCAGACATGACAGTGGTGCTTAACAGAAGAAAACAGCTTACCCTTTATAGACAGTTCCTGACTTCTTGCATAAGGCCTAACCTTCCTGCCCAGTCACCACCAGTAGCTTTCCATCTGTAACCCAGTTCTCTTTATACTAGAAGCATTTCCCATACAACTAATGAAAACAAAGATATACAGTGCACTTTTTGTCAGTCCTTATCACAGCCTGTTTAATAAAAAACAAACAACACAGGCTAAGGCCAGGAACAGCATACTAATGAGCATACAACAGGGAATGACACTAAGAAAAAGATCTGTCACTGGAAAGAAAAGCTAATTACAAAGGAATTACTGAACTTCCTACACCACTTACACTTTGTTAGATCTGCTACCTGAAAATGGCAATGAAGGATCAGTCCCAGCCAACCTCAGCACAAGAAATATAAAACTCCAGTCTGAGGACTTGTCTGCAGAAACTAGTTCCTTTTGTACACACAGTGAATGCCCAGATGCTTCAGTTCTGGGCCTAAGCTCCCAGAAGAGTCAGATGAGCATCAGTCCAAGGAAAAGAGTGGAAACATTTAGACTGTGGTACATGGGGAAAAAGAAGAAAATAAACAGAGTTGTGGCAGTGCAGATTTAAACAGCTTAAATGGTCATAAGCTGCAGCCTAAGAGATGCACATTCACTCTATGATAACCACTACACATCGTGGTACATTTTCTCATAAGCTGGGCATACATCTATTCTGAACTTCTAACTTCAAAAGCAAATAGCAATTAACGTTATTTGATTTAATTAAAAAAAAAAATCCCAACTTATTACAGTACTTGAACACAGTCCTTATTTATTTTTTATTGTTATCCACTTTGAATACTTTCTTAGGAAAACTTCCATCCCCAGGCAGCCAGCCTAAACAATCTGAAAAGTTCAGATTGAACAGAATTGAATGCTGATGACAAGAACATGCTCCATGAAGTTTTTCTGCACCTGCACAGCCCCAGCTTCTGCAGGTCAGCAGACTGCTGTGACTACCGGAAGACAGAACCCACAGCTTCACATGAAAGTAATTTCACTACTCTGCCCTTTAGCCAGTAAGAAAGACTTGTGCATTTTTCATCAAGCCCTGTGTGCAGGAGTTCAAGTAAACCCTACATGAGGACAAGCACATTCTCCTCACAAAAATATGTGCTCGTTTGAAGAATGCTGGCAGGATGCTGAATCTGATCTTTACGCAATGGCATCTGGTGCAGTGAAAATTCTTATGGGAAATGATAATTCTGGTACCAGTTATTTAAAAACATTTCATAGTACAGTTATCTTGCCGCTGTTTTCCGTGGGATGAGCCAATGCTAAGTAAAACAGTACTGCAAGTAAAAACAGAAATCCAAGCAGTTGTTCCAAAGTCACTAGCACTTAGAGACTCATTAAATAGTGGATGGTGACAGGACAAGGGGGAATGGTTTAAACGAAGACAGGGGAGGTTGAGGTTGGATATCAGGAGGAAGTTTTTCAGCCAGAGGGTGGTGAGGCAACCTGATCTGAATGTGTGTGTTTGGTGGCCCTGCTAGGCAGGGGGGTTGGAACTACATGATCCTTGAGGTCCCTTCCAACCCGGGTGATTCTGTGATTCTGTGATTCTGTGAGGCACTGGAACAGGTTGCCAGGGAGGCTGCCCCATCCCTGCAGGCATTCAAGGCCAGGCTGGATGTGGCTCTGGGCAGCCTGGGCTGCTGGTTGGCGACCTGCACACAGCAGGGGGTTGGAACTGGATGAGCACTGTGTCCTTTTTAATCCAGGCCATTCTCTGATTCCATCATTCTATAACTTGTTAAAGGTTTTGCACGCCAAGTTACAGAACTTGGAAGAATGTAAGTGACAAGTGAAATATTACAACAGCTATTATGACAGCTGTGCTACAGCTTAAAGATCAGCTAACTGTTAGCTGAAACATCCTGGAATTCTGTTTTGGAAAGTGTTCCAGTGCAAAAAAAGAAACATTTACCATATTCACCAAAGCGCAGGGACTCCCACTGCTGCCATTCCACAATGGTGCTGACTGCACGTATACCTGCATAGATTAACAGCATTCCTAATGTGGCATCTAACAAGAAGTTGATAAGGTACCTGAAAAGAAAAACAAAGATTAAGCAAGAAGCACGGGTCCGTTTTCCAGAAATTCAGTGTATTTTAAATCCGCACCTGATAAATCTGTATATTTATTGAGAAGCTGGAACACTTCAATTAATATTTACCCACTTCTGTAATTACCTAGCATGACACTTAAATAGTTTGATCAGAGTATCAATACTCTGTTTCAGACCTTAGGCTTTAGCTTCAACTTACATTCCTGCCAACGTTGGGTGCAGGTTTGTGTGTGCATGCAATGCCTGCAGTCACTATCAAAGCCACACTTCAAATTACTGAAGGGTTCAGTGGAAATAATCTACCTTAGCACTTTAGGTCTTATTTAAAGGACATCCGAAATTGAATCCAGAACAAACCTTCCCACAGAACAACTAAGGGCACTGGACACAAGACTGGTGCACTATCAACTGTTTCAGGAGGAACTTCTGCAATCTTACCTACACTTTAAAAAACTACAGAGATTGCTACAGGTTTCAAATTAATTCTTAGGCCCATTCAATGGTGCAGCTGGACTTCTGAGTGCCTCGTGAACCCGTGTGGTTTGTTTACTACTGCTCCACTCTGGCTGAACAAAACAGCAGCTGAGAAAGAGACGGCGAAGGTCATCCCTGCTGCAAGCCACACAGTGAATCCCTGTAACTGAGATGCTTATTTGGCAGTTCCCAATGCTAAAGTAAACTCTAGAGTCCATAGGTTCTTATCTGCAGTGATAAAAATAACAGATCAGAGCTGTGGGCTTCTGCTGATGGCAGAGTCAAGTGCACGTGGACAAAACAACATCAGTAAGAGGAAAGCAAATGCAGAACACGTGCATTCAAAGCAGCATAGGAGGAGCGGTTCTGACCCTCAAAAATCCTATTCAAGCAGCCACTCAAGAGCAAAAAAAATTAGACATGCCCTGCTTCAGCCAAGATGCAACTGTAAGCTTCTAAAAACCAATTATTTTCCAACAGTTGCACGTCAAATCGTAGTTTGAATGAACTTTTGTATCTGACAAACTAAAATCCACGCTGAGCATTTAGCAAATGAAGCACAGCAACTGCAGGGATCCACAAGTCGGTCAGGGCCACCAGGGGCTGCTCTAAGCCTGCAGCAGAAGGCCCAGCTCTGCCTGCTGCCATCCCACTGCTGTGCTGCAGGCCAGATGTGATCCCAGCCCACCAGCAGCACCCAGTGCTGAGGGACACTGTTGCTTGCTTTGTTTGTTGAGAGTCCTTCCAGCCACAAGGCACCTGTCCAGAGGTTGTTTAACAGGTGCTTTGTCAGCTTTCATCTCACCCTGCCTGAGTTAGAGCACTGCAGTACCAAGCTGACAAACACTTGCTTCCAGTCCTAATTCATTCCAAGCTCTGAATCACAGTGTCCTCTAAAACAACATTTTCTGGTTTTGTTCTGAAAATAACCCACAAACTACACAACAGAAAACTATCCGTGGTGAAGTTTGCCGAGTTAAATTACTGTTATTTGAACCCACAGGCAGAAGTGCTGCTTCTACTCAGCTATTTGCACCCATTCATACACTTAAGGTGTATTTCTGCCCAAGAAAGGAAGAGCGGCTCTGGCTGACGTAGCACGCTGTCTTTCTGATGATAAGTCCTGGGTCCTTGCCTAAAACACTGCACAGCTCCACGCAGTTATCCTGAGAATGCTGAATGACACTTCTGCCTCCCCCCCTCCTGGCTGCTGTGTGCCACGATACGTTTGTGTGAACAGTGGGATTTGAAGATGAAGTTATGTAGACTATACAGACACAACCAAAGACCTTTTGTTTTGGAACCTCAGCAGCCAACAGAGTGCTCAGATTTTAAGATGCTTTAATGAAGTACTAGGCTTATCTTTAAACACTGATGATTCTAGACACGCTTTCATTAGCTTACTTAAATACATACATGAAAATGGAACAAAAGCAATTTGCACCTTTTATAAACCACTTGTATAGATCATGGGGAAATTAAGTCAGTAAGGAAGAGAAATCCAACAGTGATGCCTGGTATTACTGAAACTCTCATGATCATATCTTAACCTCTGCAGTTAGCGTGTTACAACAACGCATTTTCCCTACCAAAATGCTGTGGTGGGAGGAGAAAAACAGTATTTTACCAGCAGATTTATTGCACGTAGAAACAGAAGAAACTAAGGAGAAACAAAGAGAAATCTTTAGGCTTATGAAACACCACAAACATATTCCTTGAGTCACTTAACTTCTTTGGTTACCGAAGGGCAACAGTGAGCAGCCGCCATCATCAAAGTAACGGCCTTTGGTTCCAAGGGGCAAAGGAGTAGGCTGTGACAAGTAATTCCCCTGCTTCTATTAGCAGAAATGCGTAGGCTTCTTTGAGCATGTGCCTCATCAAGAACAAACCCAAACAATTACCATTTGCTTCAGTAGCTCCTGTGACAAGCCTGACAGGGTCTTAGTCACAGCTTCTTCAAGTTGAATACAGCACAGTGAAATGCTTATCTATTTAGTCACACTGCTCCTAGTGTGAGACTGCAATATTCGTTTCTGTACTAACTGCCTGGGTACCAAGCAAGACTGCCTGCTTTTAACAGTGACAATTATATTGCAGAAGATGATGTAGGTTTTTGAAGGACATACAGGTGTGAAAGATTTTTGATCATTATCCCTGTACTTTATATTAACACCTTGCTGCAGAGAATGGTGAAGCTGGAGTTGAGCATACACAACTTCATGTCCTCTGGTCCTTGGTATCTTTTATCTCCTTCAGCAAACAGCCTCGTACTACAATGTGCACCCTAAGTCCTCATTAAGAAACTGGAGGAGGAGAAGCAACAGTTCATCCTCAGTCTAAAGCATCCATACACAGACCAGAAAAAAACCCCAAAGCGAGCAAGCAACCACCAACAACAAAAACAACCAAAAAACCAAACCACTTTCCTAGGTCCTGACTGCCTGTAACAGAGCAAATTTTGGATCCTAAATTAACTAAGCTTCAAACAAAGGTCTTTGAAAGTGCCTGACTTCTTGCATGAAAATTGCATTAGTCTCCAAGTATAGCAAACTCAACAGCAGCACCCTTCATATTCATCAATGGTTAAAATGAAGCACTCACAGTGAACAAGGGTCTTCTTCAGTAAGATCTGATAAGTAGACGTTTGCAAAATGGATGAACAACATCCCTATGGCTTGCTTGGAAGTATCTAAAAACCTGCATAGAATAAGAAAACAGCTATTAAGAAACATACAACTGTTTACAACACAGTAGGACACAGCAAATTTATACTGAAATTTCAACCCAATTATTCATTTTTCATAAAATAACAACACTAAAAGGTGAAAAGCCAAGGTAATTAACTTACTTAGCAATGTTCCACTTTAAGTTCAACCCTTTGGAATATTCTTCCTTGAACCTTGCTGACAGTAAATCAAATCATACCAACTTGAGGCCTTATTTGAAGACTGTGGAGCTCCTCCTGGTATCACATGCATCATCCACAAGCTAATCTTCACTAAACCTGGCTCAGTCTTTAATAACCTGCTGTACACAATGAGTATCCCAGGCTTACAAAACATTTCAGCTCCTTTACAGTTTTGGCAAGTTTTTGGGAGGGACAGAGGGAAAATTGTCATCACATTCTTGTAGGTGGACAATTCAATAGCTAATTTCTTTATCTGGAGCATTTTGCTAAGATGCCTTCGTGGGTATTTTTCACCTGAAAGCATGAAGAAGCCTCAATGAATTTCAGCTAAAGCTCATTTGAACAGGAGCAATAGCCTTGAAACCACTACCTCCACAGCAGAAGACAAAGATGGAAAGAAAACAGTTTACTACTCACTGGGAAAACATTAAAAAACACTTAGGTACAAATTCAATATTGATTTTGGTCCCTTATCATTCTTTTATTATCTATTTATTGTTATTATTACAACTTCCCAGTATTATTTTTAAATATTGGAATCACATCACAAGTATTCTATAGACAAGAGTGTGCTCTTTATACAGCTCAACACTCACCTGGCCTGTTGTTTTTATGTCTTAAAACCACCCAACCAAACAGACCCAAACAACATTTCATGCCCGAATTTGTCTGCCAATTTGGTATTAAAACTTTACTCTCCCAAATACACAGTGCAGCACAGGGCTGGGATGAGGCAGGAGGCCAGCACATCACTTATCTAATCACTACAGCATATGATAAATAACGACACTCAAGTCCCACAACTAGATTATTGGCTTAAAAATGGAAAGCAGCCAGACTGAACTGCAGACTGAGGCAGGCTGTAAACAAAGCATTGGTATTTACTTTTCCCATAAAATAAACGTCAGGATTAATTACGAACAGCAGCGTTCTTTCAGATGAATTTCAGCCATTGGAAACACGCCGAAAGCTAACACTTCTATAGGTTCCAAAACCTGGAACGGCAGCATAACTTTTCATCTGTCTCAAAACAAGTGTGGGTAATGCTGGCATCACTACAAGAAAACAGTATTTTAACAGTAATAAAAACATGTTTTTATGCTATATGTTGTTCTATGATTTCATAAGGTATTATCTTTCATCATCATCTTTTCTATCTTACAAAAAACAGGGTATGGAATACGAAGCTTTGTTGAAGTTAAAAGCTTGTGCAAGTTTGTAGATGTTAAGATGTGTCTCCATTGCAGTCTGCCAGTACTTGAAGGGAACTTTTAAGCAGGAAGGGAATCAACTTATTACAGTTTATAGTGACAGAACAAGGGGGAATGGCTTTAAACCAAAGGAGGGAAGACTGATGTGAGATGGGAGGAGAAAATTCTTTACTCAGAGCGCTGGCAGTGCTGCCCAGAGCTGTGGGTGCCATTGCTGGAGGTGCCCCAGGCCATGGAGGGGCCCTGGGCAGCCTGAGCTGGGGGGCAGCCAGCCCATGGCAGGGGCGAGCTCGATGATCTGTAAGGCCCCTTCCAGTCTAAGCCACTCTTTGATCTTAGGGCAGTTCTAGATTCTAACTTCAGGAGAAGGTGCAACTTAAAGCTGTATGTCTAAAGGTATCTTTGTGGTGATATCTGGAAGCATACCTGGAAGGGAAATACCCAAAAGAATACAACATTTCATTGACCAGTGTATTTCAGTAATTGTTTTGTTCATCACATTCTTGTCATCATGTTGTTTTTTTTTAATTAGTATCATATGCAAACAATCATTCTCTCAACACATAAAACACCCAAGAAGCCACACTGAAGGACTGAACCTGCAGCCACGTACCATATCCTCCAAGGACGTCTTTCATGCTTTGGTTCTCTTAATCGTTTTACTACAAAAGAAGAAAAACAATTGGAGATAATCAGCAACTCCAACCATGAGACACAGTGAGAAGTAAAAGCAAACCTCCTTGCAGAAGCATTATACTCTTCAATAAATCAGGACTTACCCAACGGCATTTCACTTTATCCATCCCTGAAGATAGACTGTAAAAGAAAACCCCATCCCTCCTATTACCCACTGACCAACAGCCTGCTGCCAGCATCCCCACACAGAGCAATCACCCACTGCCTGACTACCATTGCCACAGCCGTATCCTTTATGACCACACAACCATAACATTCAATTTCCCATAGTAAAGCACGTTCCAAATATTAGAGCAAGTAGTTTCTTTCACCATTCGGAGACCAAAATCCAAATAGGAAAGTGTGGCTTGCAGTGTAGGGGCGAACTATAACATCAGAAAGACATCAAAAGGATGAGTAACAAGACAAACATATTATCTGACAAAGCTTATTTATTTTCTGGATGACAAATTAGACTTTTGTTTGCAAAGTGAATTCCAAACAAGGACGGATTTTAAAATCAGATACTGCTTTCACAAGAAGGTTTGGTAGCCTACAAACAAACAAATAAAACACAGACAGACCAAAAACCACCACCAACAAAAGAAACAGTATTAAAATAGATGTCAACTACACAAAGGTAAAAAGCCACAGATAAGTGTGGCTATTTCAGTACTGATGCTGCCCACAAGACAAGCTGGTGTGTCCCCATGAGCCCAGTGGAGCAGAAGCCCAAAGCAGGATGGAGAACATGAACTTTGGGCTCAGAAGGACAAGCGTGACATCCATCCCTGGGGGCACCTCTGGGATGCATCATCCCAACCTAATGGAAGATGGCATGGGATGCAGGGGGGGAGCATTCTGTGATTGCACAGGATTTGGAGGAGAGGATGGGAGGGATCAAAGTGATTTGCAGAACAAGCTGGAGGAAATAGAGAGATAAGGGATAAAAACAGCCTACACAAACAGCAGCTGCTCCAAAGCCCTGCACTGCCTCCTGCACACAACCTGTCCGAGCTTACTGAACTCCACTTCTAACTCTCTTTCTGGGTGAGAAAACCACTTTTCCCCCACTGGGTGGCAGCTGGAGCAGGGGACCACCACAGCCTCTGCTGCCCCATCCCAATGCCCCCCACAGGCCAGCTGCTGCTCCAGCTGCACGCCGCTCACTCAGCTGGCACATGTCAGCAGCACACCAAAGTTCCAGGCAATGGAAACCCTTCCACAAAGAATGGGTCCACTTCCCTCTACTGCCCAAAGCACAGAACCAGAGCACCTGAGGTTCAGTGTGCCCTACCAGAGCCAACACCAACCCTGAACAACAACCATTCATGCTATCATTTCAGAAGTAGTCTCCTAAAAAAATGTGGTCATTGGAAATTAAAAAGTGGCAAGAGGAGAAGATTGCATACGTACACCAAAGAAAAAGTTGTAACAGCAATACTCACCATGGGTCTCCGTGAGCAGCACGCCATAAATACACAGCTTCTGCTACACCACGAGCAGCACGCAGATGACTCAACTGGTTCACAGCTTACAGCAAGTACTCCCCAGCCACACCAGGAGCTGATAATACCTTCACTTTTGCAAAATGGGGCAGTGCACAGCTGCTGGCTGGCTCCTGGGGGAGCAGCCCCCACCTGCCCCAAACGGCCATGCACTGGGTGCTCAGCCCCAGCAGTGCCAGGCACACGGCGCAGCTCACTGCTGCTCTGAGAGCTCAGCAGATGAAGAGTAATTAGCTGGGAGCGTTCAGAATTTCACACTCAATTATAAATGAAGAAAGAAGCGCTGGTAGTTTATACATCTGATGCCAGAATTCTTCAGGAAAGGAAATAAAAGCAGTTCTGCCAGCAAGCACGGGAGCTGCCAGATGGGCAGATAACAGACAAGACAGCACGGAAGGCAGAGCATTTAGTAATGCAAGCTCAAGCTCATTAGTTGTCTCCTGTTTCATGAAGCTGCTAGCAATAATGGAGGACAGATTTCACTTATTTTAAACTTTATTTTGGAAGGCTGTCAGAACCTCTGCTCTGCTTACGTTTTTTCCACAACAGTAGGAACTGTGTCTGTTACAAATAAACACCACTAATTCCCCACAATCCTGTGACGGGAAACAACGTGCTGCACCACAGGGCAGCTACTGCTGAGTGGTGTCCCCTGTCTTATGTCCTGTTTGAACCTCTCTTCTTTACACAATAAAGCAAAGCTTTTAAGAGACTGCAGTTGAAGTTTCACTTGAGCCCCCCATTACCTCCTTTAGCAGCAAAGGAATAAGAAATTACAGATTTCCCCAGATCAACCTTGCAACAAACATCACAGCAATGAGAATGAGCTGAAGCAATGCCTTACAAAAGGGAAACAAGTCTGTAAGCTACACACATGGCTAAAAGCTTCTGTGACACTGAATAGCTCAATATCTCTTTCCATTCAGAGTTTTTTAAAAAAGAACATTATTTTTCACTTGTGTGTTTTAAAGGGAGGTAATAAATGTATGACTTTGTTAGCATGAAAGACTGAAAGCAGCAGTGCTTTTTTCATGCTGCTCATTTCAAAACAGAGCAGCACTGTGTGCCCAGTGTTTCACTTTTCACCCCACTGTTAATGCACAGATTCATAAAATGGCCCGGGTTGGATGGGACCTCAATGATCATCAAGCTCCAACCCCCTGCCACAGGCATGGATGCCAACCTCCACACCTAATGCCACACTACACTGCCCATCCAACCTGGCCTTGAACCTCCAGGGATGGACGGGGCATCACAGCCTCTCTGGCAGCTGTTCCAGCACCTCACCACTCTCTCTGTAAAGAACTTCCCCCTGACATCCAACCTCAATCTTCCCTCCCTCAACTTCAAACCATTTCCCCATTTGTCCTGCTGTTATCTCCCCTTTCAAAGAGTTGATTCCCCTCCTGTTTGTAGGCTCCCTTTTTTTAAGGCAAAGCTTTCCTGTCAGACATCCAACCCACTCAGCAAAGATTCAGACCCAAGCTCCTGCTCTCAGTTACCAGCCTGTTTGCTGGGCAGCGTTCTAGAGGTCAAAACCTGTGTGCAAACTGTGCTATGCAAACAAGTCAAGCCCTTGACTCCTGGAAGAAATGTCAAATGTACAGCAATGATAAAACATTGCAAGCAAAGGTTAAGCAGCACAAATCCATATTACTGTGCACTAAGCACCAATTTATGACATGCAGCACCATTTTCACCTACTGCTCAATAACAGATAAAGCTTTCCTGACATCACTAGTACAACAGGCATCACTGAACTTCAAGGCATTCACTCCAGTTGTTGTAAGTCAGCAGCAGAACCCACAGTACTGCCGAAGCATGGCAACAAATGCCCCCATCAGTGAGCTTATCAACCAGGCCTGCAGCTGCAACAACCTTAAAAGCAGAAGCCAACTCCCAAATGGACCTTCAGACAAATGCAAAAAGCATGTGAAGCTGTTCCTCTTAGTAGAAAACGATGAACACAGCAAAGGGAGGCCAAGGGTGGATTCGCCCTGCCTTTTAACGGCCACTGAAATCCTACATAGCTCTTGCTAGCCAGATTTATTCTTATGCTGAAGGAACAACAGAAGCACCACATTGCAAAAGCGAGACTCATTTCACATAACATCAACCGAAAAAAAAAAAGCAAAAAGATACACAACCAGCTTTCATACTCTTTTCCCAAAAACAAGCATAAGAATGGGAAGCTGACGGCCAGTTGCCACGTGGTACTGCCACGTACACTTCAATGTAGCGCCTCTACCAACAAGGTCTTTGATCGGTGCAGATGAAAACAGCAATAATTTCCATGTGCAGGAGCATTACTCTTAATGATACAGCTTTGTACCTCCTGACACTCGTGCAGCTTTCATAAAGGCCTCACAACACTCAAACGCCCGCACCATAAAACGCACTGCTGTAAGAAAGCTCAAGCGTTTAGCATCAGATGAACGAGGCAATTTTTAAGCTCAATTTTAAAGCTGTCTAGACTGCTTCATTCTTTATCATTACAATTACCTCCCACAGAAAGCATTCAAACCCCATGCAGATAAACTAAAATATGCTGCCAGTCACACCATCACCCTCAAGACAAGAAAGGTATGCTGAAATGAGATTTTACGATATTTAATAGCTGATGTTTTCCAGCATCAGTAAGAAATTAGGAGCAATAATTCTAAAAGAAATAAAAATTACTGAGAATAGCATCTTAAAAAAATGACTGGAGACAGAATACGTATGCTGTAGTTGTGAGTAGCTGTTTTAAAGTCTTTTTTGGCCCATGGAAAAATCTGTACTTTTGGCAGTGGAAGAAAATGACTGAAACAACAAAAAGCAAGCAAAGGCTGTGTGGGTGAGTGCTCGAGGTGATGTGCTGGCCTGCCTGCTTTGGAGCTGCTGAAGACTGGGACCAACCCTATAAAGCAGTGCTTGGCCAGACTTTGAGCATTTTACCAGTTATCAGCTCTCTAAAGCAGATTACCTTTGAAACCCCTAAGAACTTAGGAACTCCTCTCCCTGGCTCACCTCCCAGCCCCAGTTCTTAGCTACTTACACCATCTTCCTTCACTCAGTGTGTGTTGTGGTAGAGAAAAGGGAAACAATAATAATGATGACAAATAAATATATACATATGAATGCATACAAGTGACACACAAGCAATTGCTCACTATCCTCCAGCCAATGCCCAGCTGGCCCCTGAGCAGCGGAAGAGAGCAAGATGAACTCCCACCCCCTACAAATCTCCTGCCATGTGATATCACTATGGAATATATATCAGTATGTATGTATGGAGTATATATCAGTATGGAATGTCCCTTTGGCCACTTTCAGTCCAATTCTCTTCCCTCCCACAGAGGGCTACTTGGGCCCTCTGTGCAGACGGCCTTGGCTCTATAAACTATAGAGCAGCAACTACAAACATCAGCGTTATCAACATTGTTTTCCTCCTGGCACCAAACCATAGCATCAAACCCGGCACTCTGAAGAAACCAATTCCATCCCAGCTGAAACCAAGACAAAGCAGAGGACAACGCACACCTCTGAGGCGCAGCACAGGCACCAGCTCCCCAAAAATAAGAATATAAACAAACTGTGAGGCTGTGCAACACGTAACCCAGAGCTGGGGGTAGCAACACC